TAAATTTATGAATAATTCACAAATGTTTATTTAAATATGATTCACAGATATATTGTAAATAATTATGTCAAAGTAATATATGCGTCAGATTAAAATAATTATAACGCCACTATCCCTAATAAAATTCAGTATTTTTATCTGATACAAATTTTAATAATTATGACCGTACTACACAGATAACAAATTGTGAGAATTTTTTTAACAAAATTTTATTTAACAGGTTATAATCGGGATATACCCATATTCGAAGTCATCTCACCACCAAATCCCAAAGACTTTTCAAGTTCAGATGGATACGCTTTTACTATTGTTACGGCAGCTAGCTCTAATCATTGGTGTCAGTTAACAAACTGGATAAATCACATAAACAATCTTCAACAATTTTTACCAAAGTATATAAATCCAAGGATAATAATTTACGATTTAGGCTTAGATGAACAACAAAGAATTATACTTGACGCATTAAAACTTTATGAAAATTTTGCTGAGCTTCGAACTTTTAACTTTTCGAAATATCCAGAATTTTGGAATCTTCAAAAAAATGAGACATCGAGGGGTGAATATGGTTGGAAAGTTGGAATTATCAAAGAAATTTCGATTGAATTTCCTGGATTTTTGATTTGGTCTGATTCTGGAACTCTTTTTAGTCAAAAAACTTTAGAAAACCTTCCCGAAATTCTTAAATTATATAATGGTTTTATTTCACCAATATCTGGAGGCACAATGGATATATGGACACACCCAGGTGTTTACAAGTATTTTAATGATGATGGTAGTAAATATATAAATGTTTCTAATTGTAATGCTGCAGCCATATTTTTTGATACCAAAAAAACTCAATATTTAATTGATGCATGGTATAAATGTGCTCTTGAAAAGGAATGTATAGCACCATGGGAAAGTAGTAGAGAAAATCATCGACAAGATCAAGCTATATTGACTTATCTTATTATAAATGATAACAGAAAATGTGAAATAGATAAGATAAATTTGGGTGTAAAGACTCGTGTATTTGATAACCTCTGTAATATTAGAGAAAGTTTGCAAAATACGTTAAAGCTAAAAGAGATAGAATATGTTTATCTTTAACAAATGTGAATATAATTCTTAATTTTTTTGGAAAATATGTGTAATTAATTTCTATTTTTAAGAACAAATTAATAAATCTATTCTACATAATTTTTAGTAATTATATATTATATCATGTAAAAAATTTTTAATCCACTAATCCATATTAAATCTCGTAATTAGTATGACTAATCAAAATCGTAAATTCTTTATTTGACGAATCAGCCCGACGAATAAAAAAGTAAAATAAAGGAAATGAATGTCTAAACAGATATTCCAAATCGGACTGAATAATTCAATTGATTAGTTGACCAAGAATTGTCATTAAAAAATCGATTAATTGGTATATCGAAATGGCTTGGAAATAATTTGGTTTCTGGTAGCTAAAATCTTTGATTATAGTAATAATATACAAAAACAACTAGCTGATTAATTCACTTTGCAAAAGATGTGACTCGTTATTTTCATGTTGATGATAGCGGGAAATTTCCGAGATACTAAATTTCCTATAGATTATTTCTTTAGATTTTGTAGTTTTTTGATATAAATTGTAAGATCAAACCCAAAATAGGTAATGAAAATTCTTATGCTAAAGTTGTTTAATTATTCTTTATACTGTATTTTTTAAGTCAAATAACTTACTTATCTAATATAACAATAAAGAATATTACAAAATTAACCCAGATTTTACTTAATAAAATTTTTTAAGTTTTAAATAAAGTTGTAGAGGTTTTTTTTAATCCTAATAACAGTTGAATTAGTAAATATTAGCCAAGATCCTTAATAAATATTTACAAATTTACTAATACACGAATAATTATTGATATCATAGATAACAATCTTTTGTGTAATAGTGAATTTGTAAATACTTATATTATGTTTTTAATCCTAAGTATCTTGAGACATACTAAGCAATTTTGATGATTTAATTACCATTAATATTACAAAAAGATTCTTTGTAAATTTATTAAAAGCTTAAAAAAAACTTTTACTTAGTAAAATCTTCTTTAATCTTTGAAAGATTCTTTTAACCAATTAATTATTAGATTAGTTAATTACTTGACTTAAAAATATAAAAAAATGAGCAAATTTAACTCAGGATCTTTTTTTTAACTAGGTGATTAATTTACAATTTATGTCAAAAAACTACAAAATATCAATTAATATATATTTAACGTTAATTAATATATAAGTTTTTGATCAAATTAAATCAAACCATTTTTTAAAAAATTTACACATAACTGATATTTATAGCATTTTAAACATTTATGTTCTTTGAGGGTCACTTGTAAGGCGCCAAACTGGTGATCTGTTTCTTGTTTTGATTAAAATAGATGGCGTAAATGTTTTCAGATAAGGTTGCATCAATTTTTCCGATGGACTTGAATTAATAGATGACCCATCCATTTGGCGCAGAATAGTGACGAATCATTCATGTGACGAATAAGCATTTATTAATATATTGTATTGGCCAATTGTTATTTGTCACATAGAATGATTCGTCACACTCTTGTGCAAATATAAGGGGGTCGCCTATAATATACTTAATCCCAAGAAATTTTACTTATTTTTAATTCTGAATCCCTTAGTAGTCACATAATTTTGTAGCAAAATCTTATTTCAGAATAATAATGAATAAATAACATTCGAATGCCTATAAGAATTACAACTTCTAGAAGGCACCTCATTTCAATATATTCAATTTACAAACGATGCCGGGAGCAGGGTTTAAAATTGGCTTGCACAAGATGCACATGTGCAAGTAGCTTTTATTGTGTAAGAGAAGTTCTAAATGTATATGCACAAGTGTGCAATTAAATTTGAATAAGAAGCCTGCGCAAAAAATAATATGCAAGAGAAATTATAAAATTTTATTGCACTGAAAATTATTCTAAATATAAAATATGGGATAGGTTAAAGATATTCCGAAAAGTTCTGAAAGGAAAATGAACGAACATAAAATACAAGCAAGGTCGAGAATAAATTTTAAGAAAATATCCGAAATATTCCAAAAAAATCAAACAAAAATATAAGATATATTTGGTATATAAATTTAAATTTTTATAACATTAGAGACAATAAATAAGTGCATATAAAAATAAATTTTATATGCACATGTGTGTAACTAGTAGTTGGTTTATGCAATTAAAACCTATGACTTTGTGCATGTAAGTCTCGATCTGAATTTTAAACCCTGGTCGGGAAACGATCAAGATACAAAAATAATAATCAATATTTTAAAGCAACTTATTTCTAATTAAATTTTGCCATTGTAAAACATCCTAAGACAATATAAACGCTCACTGTTTTTACTATAATTATTCAATAAAATAAAGAAAACAAAAGTTAATATGAGTTATGTTAGTATGGCAATGTGAGTGATTTGGGCTATATGGTAATATGAAAATATGACAGCATTACAGCAATGTATTTATGATTTATATTGTAGTAATATGGTTTTTAAATGTAATTATCTAATTCGATAATTACGATAAGTGCCATTTATTCCTTGCTTCAGGGGAATAAATAAGTTATTCTCCCGTTTTATTAATTGACGGCCGGAGGCTATTTCCCTATTGAGTTTGAATTGAGTTATGCTAAAAATAATAGCACGAACATAGCATGACCGAAAAATTTGATTAAAAATATATGATGCAATGTATTAGTCGTTTATGATGATATTTATTAATATTTATATAAAGTAACAAGAATTTCTTTCCTACCAAATATTCATAAAATTATAGTTTACCCTGTCGAATAAATAAAAAAAAGCGAATACTGTATAACATGACAAAATTCAAAGCCTTCGGCAAAAAAAACAAACAAATATAAACAAAGCTAAGCTATTTGGTGAATTTATAGGTTAAAAAATAGTTTAATACTGTATAAAATTTTAAGACACGTAATATCATAATTCAATTTAATAACTTTTAAGATTTGTTAAATAATTTCTAGTATTACGATAATCGGCATTCTCGTTGTAACGATTGGTTGAGGAGCACCGCATAATGAATACGCAATGCAACTCCAGCAGCTAATGGAAGTTATATTGATTGAATTATGCAAATGAGCATAGTAACTTAGTAAGGGAGAGATAATGATGGTGAAGACTTAAGGATATACTTTACAAT